GCTAACGTGGTGTTTCAGTTATCTCTTGCTTCATAATAAACTACCCCAAAACCTAGTGGCTCAAAACAACTTATTCCTCATGATTCTGTGGGTCTGCTTGGTGTGGTTGGTTCTGTTTCACATGGTGTCATTCTGGGTCCTTTGCTGAGCTGGTCTAAAAGGTCCAAGAAGGCTTCATTCACATGGCTGGCCTCTTCGTGCTGGTCCACATGACTTTTCTCCACATGGTATCTCAGTGCTCTGTAGTAGCCCTTGGCTACCAAGTGAGAGTAAGTAGAAGTGGATAGACCTCTTAAAGGCTAGGCCCAGAATTGGCACATTATCCTATGCATTCTGTTGATCAGGGCAAGTCACAAGGCCAGCACAGATCTCTTGATGGTAGAGTGGCATGAATGTCCAGAGAGGAAGGAATTGGTAGTGACCATCTTTGTAGATTCTCTTCCATAAATTGAAGGAGGGGAGGAGTAGTTCTTCAAAGTGATTGAAACCTAAAATATCTGAAAGCTACATTTCCTCTACCAGGAAGGTAGAGGAAAGCAAGCAGAGTGATCTGCTTCTGGGAGACTCATGAAAAAAGCCCGTGGATAAGGAAGGTGTAGTCAACTGGATGAAATACCCCTGAAAGTTTGTGATTTAGATGGATGAATGTGAGTGGGGATGGTGGTAGGTCCCAGCCTTTTGGCTGGGCAGTAGATAGATGGAGAGTGATGAATTTTGGAGCAACCTGGAATATAGCCTTTCTTTCAGAATTCATTTATTAGTATCTAATCTTTTTTTCTTTCCAGAAATATCTCTGAGCATGTTCTATTTATAACCTGCTAGAGATGGAAGAGTCCTAAGTTGAGTAGATCCTCTTGCCACTGGACAAGACTTCTTTGTTTCAGTTGACCCACTCTGGCATCTGTTCCAACACTTCTGGTGACTGAGCTTACTTTCTAGATTACCCATTCTACTTTTTATTATACATTGGGAAAATCCTTTGAAGCTGTCTTAGGTTTCAAGGCAGTGTAGACCCAGGTCCAGTGCTTCTCTATGGTTATCTAAAGACTTGATTTGGGGTGCCTGGGTGGCTCAGTCCCTAAGCATCTGCCTTTGGCTCAGGTCGTGATCCCATGGTCCTGGGATCAAGTCATGCACCGGGCTCCCTGCTCAGCGGGAAGCCTGCTTCTCCCTCTCCCACTCCCCCTGCTTGTGTTCTCTCTCTCAAATAAATAAATAAAATCTTTAAAAAAAAAAAAAATAGACTTGATTTGAGGGGCGCCTGGGTGGCTCAGTCAGTTCAGCGTCTACCTTTGGCTTGGGTCATGATCCTGGGGACCTGGGATCAAGTCCCACATTGGACTCCCTGCTCAGCGGGGAACCTGCTGCTCCCCTCTGTGCACTCTCTCTCAAAAAAAAAAAGGGGGGGGCGCCTGGGTGGCTCAGTCAGTTAAGTGTTTGCCTTTGGTTCAGGTCATGATCCCGGGTCCTGGGTTGGAGTCCCGCCTTGGGCTCCCTGCTCACTGGGGAGTCTGCTTTTCCCTCCCCCCTGCTTGTGCTTGCTTGCTTGCTCTCTCTCTCAAATAAATATTTATTTTATTTATTTTTTTAAAGATTTTATTTGACGCAGAGAGACAGCGAGAGAGGGAACACAAGCAGGGGGAGTGAGAGAGGGAGAAGCAGGCTTCCCGTGGAGCAGGGAGCCCGAGGTGGGGCTCGATCCCAGGACCCTGGGATCATGACCTGAGCCACCCAGTCGCCCCTAAGTAAAATATTTAAAACAACAACAACAAAGACTTGATTTGACTATGTTAACTAACTGGAATTAAAAACTTAAAGACTTCATTTGACAAGCAAGATTGGAACTATTGGCCAAAACATTTGTGGATATCATGGGCTAAGTTTAAAATAACTTCAATCACTTTGTTATTTTAGGATCCTGGAATAAGTAAAGCATTCCTTCCATTTTATTCATAAAAATTTAGCTATAAGAAATACAAGAAACCTTTTGTAAGTACGCTAAATTCCCTCATTTTTGCATATTTAAAAATCTGGTCCTTGGTAAAGCAGCTTTCTCCTCAAATTATAATCCTGGTTTTGGCCTCCATAGTCACCAAAACTAGGTGATGTGTTCGATCGGTTGATTGGAGACTGATGACTGGATCTCAGTGTATGTGGGGCGCCTGGGTGGCTTATTCGTTAGGCATCTGCCTTCAGCTCTGGTCATGATCCCAGGATCCTGGGTCCCAGGTCCAGCGGGAAGCCTGCTTCTCCCTCTCCCACTCCCCCTGCTTGTGTTCCCTCTCTCGCTGTGTGTCTCTCTCTCTCAAATAAATAAAATCTTTAGGAAAAAAAGACTTGGTTTATGCAAATCCTCTGATTAGTCGAGTACTACTTTCAGAATGTGTTAAATATCTCCTATTTAAAGAAAAGAAAACCAGTAAAAATGAGATAGCGTAATAGATTTTAGTGGCATTAGTAGTTCTACCAAAGGATTCTCCATAAAGGCCTGAGAGAAGTGACTTGCCCAGGGCACTGCAGGTAATTAGTGGAACCCATTTTCCCCTTCCTTTGACTCTGCCCTGCCTTCGTTCCTCTCATTTAAGTTGTCAAATCCTGAAAGTCGCTTACACAGCAGCCTGATCATGTTTGCAGTGGCAAGTTGGAGCAGAGATGTCCTGTTTCTTGCTTTCTCTGAAGAAAAAAAATCTTGTTTGGCTTCTTTGAAGGTTGATTTATTGTCCTCCGGTAGGAAAAAGACGAGTACAGATAGCCTGGAATCTGGGGCTTACTATAGAATAAAAATATCTGGACATCCTGTTTTAAGATGGAAAGGGGAACGGCTTCCTACTTGAAGGTATTTTTTTTTAGCAGCTTCATATTAATATAAATGAATTGTAGAAAAGCTGGAGGGGGGCCTAAGGAGGTAGGAGAGTAGAACAGAGGGCACGAGGAAGTAGATGCCATGGCTTTATCTCAGGCATGTGATTGTGACTCACGGGATATGTTTTAGATTGCAAAAGAGGTAGAAGTGTTCGGAGTGGAGTCCACGGTGCCTGCTTGTCCCAGCTCCTTAGCAAGTTTAGTAGGATCCGGGCTTGCAGAAGGAAGGCTTTTAAACTTGGAATATTGTTAAGGATTGGGAGAGAATAGGAGGGAGAAATTGTGCTGGAACTTTTTTTTTTTTTTTAAGATTTTATTTAGTTATTTGACAGAGACACAGTGAGAGAGGGAACACAAGCAGGGGGAAGTGGGAGAGGGAGAAGCAGGCCTCCCGCCGAGCCGGGAGACCAATGTGGGGCTCGATCCCAGGACCCTGGGATCAGGACCTGAGCCGAAGGCAGCCGCTTAATGACTGAGCCACCCAGGCCTGTGCTGGAACTTCTTGATGAGGAGCTCTGATGCTTGTGCTGTGGGCCCTTGTTGAACTGAAGGGTATTGCCAGAAGAATGTGGGATATGAGGTCTGAGATCTGGGTTGAATCCCAGCTCCATTTTCTAAATGCATGGAAATTGAGGTCTGGGGAGGTTAGAATGGTAAATAATGCCTGATAGGATCCTGGGGACAACGTGTGTCAAGCATCACTAGGGTACTTTTCCGTAGTAACTTCAGTGGCCGCTGTTGTCTTTTTGCCCTTGAGATTTAAGTACGACGGCTGGATGTAGATTATATTTGATGATAAGAGAAATATGGAAAACTTTTGTTCTGGTTTTGGATGTGGACTCATGTAGGTAGAAATCTGGGTGGTGTGTTTTTATTTTCATTGAGCTTGTAATAACTTTTTACAAAATACGGTATAACCTATATACAATAGAGTATATAAATATTAAACAACTTGAATTTTTATGTATGTGTGCATTCAAATTAATTCAAAACACAAATAAAATGTGAAAAACTTGCTTTTTATTCCTCTTTATCTCTATGTATTTCCCTGGTCTTATACCTGGTAATTTGGTATATTCCAGAAATTCTTCTATGCATGTATCAATAAACTTTTTTTTTTTAAGATTTTATTTGACACTTTTTATTTGATTTTATTTTTATTTATTTTTTAAAAAGATTTTATTTATTTGACAGAGATAGCGAGAGCAGGAACACAAATGGGGAATGGGAGAGGGAGAAGCAGGCCTCCTGCTGAGCAGGGAGCCTGATGTGGGGACTGGATCCCAGGACCCTGGGATCATGACCTGAGCCGAAGGCAGATGCTTAACTGACCCACCCAGGTGCCCCTCAATAAACATTTTTTAGGGCGCCTGGGTGGCTTAGTCGTTAAGCATCTGCCTTCGGCTCAGGTCATGATCCCAGGGTCCTGGGATCAAGTCCCACATCGGGCTCCCTGCTCGGCAGGAAGCCCACTTCTCCCTCTCCCACTCCCCCTGCTTGTGTTCCTGCTCTCGCTATCTCTCTGTCAAATAAATAAATAAAATCTTTAAAAAAAAAAAACATTTTTTAAATTTAATAATCAAATTATATTGTTTATAATTTGTGTTTTTACTGAATAAGGTATCCTGAAGAATCTTCAGTGTAGGTACAAACAGCTCATTTTTTTAAAACTTACCCTATTGTTCAACATAGGTGTACAACAGTTCAACCATTCTTTTCATAGTAGTTGCACTTGAGTGTATTTTAATGTCATAAGACTCTTGGTTGAGGGCAGCTGGGTGGCTCAGTCGGTTAAGCGGCTGCCTTTGGCTCAGGTCATGATCCCAGGATCCTAGGATCGAGCCCCGCATCAGGCTCCTTGCTCAGCAGGGAGCCTGCTTCTCCCCTGCCTGCCATTCCCCCTGCTTGTGCTTGCTCTCTGTCTCTCTCTCGCTTGCTCTCTCTCTGTCAAAAAAAAAAAAAAAAGACTCTTGGTTGGATATTTTTATAAGGTAAATTCTTAGATTGGGAATTGCTATGTCAGAAGACACGCACATTTAAATTTGTAAGTGCTCTGCCAAAAACACTTAACTTATATTGACATGGTTAGTTGTAAGACAACCAAGAGAGCAGTTTTCTTTTTCTGCTTTTTTTTTTCTTTTAATATGGAACTCTTTATGAATTTATGTGTCATCCGTATGCAGGGGCCATACTAATCTCCGTATTGTTCCAGTTTTAATGTACGTGCTGCCAAAATGAGCTCAAGAGAGCCATTTTCAATGAAGTATACAGTAAGACAGTTTGGTTAAAAACTGTCTTTTCAAGCGTGGAGGACTGTATGAATCTAGGAATAGCCTTATTCTTTATACCATGGATATGGCTGACAAGTCTAGTCCTTATTCCTTTGTGCCTTTTGTATGTAAAAATTAAGTTAAAAACTATGACGGTTAAGTTCTGACAACTTGTAGCTCGAATACATAAGGTTTATGTTCTCCTGTTCTTAGCACCTTAGCACCTTGAAGTTTGGATTTTACCTCAGGGACTAATAATTTCTTGCAGTGAGAACTTTACTAAGTCATATTTTGAGGAAAAATTTCATTTAAAAATTAGTTTCCAAAACAGAGTGCTCCTCAGCTTCCCACTCTAGCTGGGCAGATGATGATTGGGAGCTTAATTAAAAGCACCTGTGATTCCAGTTATGGAATAAGTCATGGGGATGAAAGGAGGTCATAGGGAGTATAGTCCATGGTATTCTAATAGCCTTATGTGGTGAGAGATGATGGCTACACTTGTGAGCAGAGTGTAACACACAAACTCGTTGAATTGCTGTGTTGGACACCTGAAACTAATGTGACATTGCACATCAACAATACGTCATTTAAAACCAAAGGAACCGGGGTGCCTGGGTGGCTCAGTCGTTAAACGTCTGCCTTTGGCTCAGGTCATGATCCCAGGGTCCTGGGATCAAGCCCCGCATCGGGCTCCTTGCTCAGCGGGAAGCCTGCTTCTCCCTCTCCCTCTGCCTGCCGCTCTGCCTACTTGTGCTCTCTCTCTCTGTCAAATAAATAAATGAAATCTTAAAAAAACAAAACAAACAAAAAACCAAAGGAACCTATGATGGTAGAGCTGTTTGAAAAATGATTGTGTTCTTCCCTGTGATGCCCAAATGTCTGTTGTAGGGGCACCTGGGTGGCTCAGTTAAGTGCCGGGCTCTTCATCTCAGCTCTGGTCTTGATCTCAGGGTGGTGAGTTCAAGCCCAGCATTGGGTTCCACACTGGGTGTGGAGCCCACTTTAAAAAAAAAAAAATGATTACCAAATGTTTGGCTTATTTTTAAAGATTTTATTTATTTATTTGACAGAGAGACAGCTGGAGAGGGAACACAAGTAGGGGGAGCGGGAGTGGGAGAAGCAGGCTTCCCGCTGAGCAGGGAGCCCGATGCAGGACTCGATCCCAGGACCCTGGGATCATGACCTGAGCTGAAGGCAGACGCTTAACGACTAAGGCACCCAGGTGCCCCCCAAATGTTTGTTATAAAAGTCAGCTGCTCTTGGAAAAATGGGGAAGCTCTTGTGTGTTTTTGGCTTTTTGTTTGTTTGTTTTTTTTTGAGAGAGAGAAGTATGGATGAAAATTTTAATTTTAAAGTATTCTTAAACTTTTTTGGGTGCTAATTTACCAATTTCTGCATTTTTGAGTTTCAGAAATGAGTTTATTTCCCATGGCTGATGTAAGTTTTTAGTTTAACAAGCATAAATTGGGCACTGGTGGTCAAGGTCAGTTTAATGCTTGGTTTCAGAAAGGGGCTAGAAAGAAGAATAAGATACTTGTTCTGAAAAAAAGTACGTGGCGTATAGTGGCTTTCACTTTGTTCTCTTTCAATGCCTGGGTGATATTTTTATCTTGAACACCAGCAGTGGCTCACTGTGGCATTGATCCAGAAGGTGGATGAATATCTCCGCAGGTAAAGAGAAAGTGTAAATATGTCATGGGGTATGTATGGTATGCCCCAGAAACATGGGTTGGGGGGCATTAGGCTTAAGTGGGTATTGGTACAGCCAGCCAGGAAGGGATGTGAAGGTAGATGGAGGCTGTGTGCAGTGGGGATGGGGAAGGCAGGAGGGACAGCAGGAGCCAAGGCATGTGAGTGTGAAATATCCTGGTGTGTGCCGGGGAACTACAGGCTGTTTGGGATTAGAGAGGTTCAAGTGTGAGGCTGGATACTGGTTGAGGCTGAGCCTAGAGGGGGTGGTGAGAGCAGCCTGTGTGCTTGAGGAGGGTCTGTTACTTGGATTCTTGGATGTGTTTAACTTTCAGGGCTCAGTTTAGTTAATGCCATTTAGCAGATGGTTATTTGGGATCACCATGCAAGACTTGATGCCTAGATTAATTTGGGGTTCTGCTTACCAGAGATCATCTTGAAATGCTTTTACCTTTGAAGTACTTTGTGGGAATGACTGTGCCCCAATAAACTCCATGGGATTTAGGGCTGTTCTTAGGACACCCTCTGACAGGGTAATTAGGGTAAATTGTAATATGACGAGGAACCCTATAGTAAGACTGACTGAGCCTGGGTTGTTCTGTTACCTTTTTTAGGTTGTTAGTGACAACACAGTCATCAGTGATGATTAAAACACCTGGTACTCTGTGATTTTTATTAAGGCATTTCAAATGATATAATGAACCGTTGGAGCAAAATGAGACACTTCTGTGTGCACACATGATTGAGCAAAATTAGGGGTGGCAGTAAAGCACAGCAGTAGGGAGGGCCAGTGACATCTTGCTTGGAATCACCTAGACCTCAGTTAAAATCCTTGTTCAGCTCAGTGATCCTGGGCACAGTGATGAAACTCTGCACCCCTTAGTTTATCTAGAAATAGGGGCAATAAAACTTATTTGCACAAGGTTGTCAGGAATTAAATGATGTTTGTAAAGGATTCCTTGGAATATCTGACACCTAAGTGGTATTGTCTCATATTAATAAGTTTGTGTATTTACATGTGGCAATTGAAAATAAAAGATAATTATTCCGGGGCTCTTGGGTGGCTCAGTCAGTTAAGCGTCTGCCTTTGGCTCAGATCATGATCTCAGGGTCCTGGGATCGAGCCCTGCATTGGGCTCCCTGCTCAGTGGGGAGCCAGCTTCTCCCTTCCCCTCTGCCTGCTGTTCCCCCTGCTTGTGCTCTCTCTCTCTTTGTCAAATAAATAAATAGATCTTAAAAAAAAAAAAAATTCCCGCATAATCTCATGGTTTGTGCCTCATATGTACATAGAAAGTTTCCACATTTCTTTGTAGAATGTGAGTGTGTTGTGAATAAGACTTTTTAAAATATTTTATTTATTTATTCATGAGAGTCAGAAAGAGAGAGAGTGAGATGCAGAGGCAGAGGGAGAAGCAGGCTCCCCGCCTAGCAGGGAGCCCGATGCGGGACTCCATCCCAGGACCCTGGGATCATGACCTGAGCCGAAGGCAGACGCTTAACCATCTGAGCTACCCAGGCGCCCATGAATAAGACTTTTACTTTGTGTCTAGATTTGTAGCTTTTAGGATCCCTAAAATCTATCTAGTTGTGAAATTGTCTTAAGATACTGTTAAAAAAAAAAAAATAGGAGGGGCGCCTAGGTGGCTGAGGTAGTTAAGCGTCTGCCTTCGGCTCAGGTTATGATCCCAGAGTCCTGGGATCGAGCCCCACGTCGGGCTCCCTGCTCAGTGTGGAGTCTGCTTCTCCCTCTGACCCCCCCCCCCAACCTCGAGTGCACTATGCTCCCTCTCACAAAAATAAAATCTTTAGAAAAACAGATTAGGAGATAAATAACTGCTGTTAATTTCAAAGAGAGACAACATAGTACAAAAATGTACAAAAAAATAAAACGTACAAAAAAGCGGGAGTTCAGAAGGAAGTATCTGAAAAGCCAATGTACTTAGGAAAAGAGACCTAATCTTCTTAGTTATTAGGTAAATGACAATTGTAAGAGCAATTTTTGCCAATCAGGTTGGGAAAAATGAACAAGATTGATACTACCTGGTGTTGGCAAGAGTGTGAAGGAATGGGCACTCATAAGCTAGAGTAAATTGGCAGACTTCTTGGTAGGTCATTTGGCAGTATCTGTTAGAACTTAAAATGTAACTATCCCTCAACCAAGTATATGAAGTATATAGAGAAAATCCACCCTCACACAGATGTATAGTTGGAAAAGGAAAGGGATATTTTAATCATCTTTTTATTTTTTATTATTTTTTTAGGATTTTATTCCATTTTTTGACAGAGACAGCAAGAGAGGGAACACAAGCAGGGGGTATGGGAGAGGAAGAAGCAGGCTTCCCGCTGAGCAGGGAGCCTGATGCAGGGCTCCCTCCCTGGACCCTGAGATCGTGACCTGAGCAGAAGGCAGATGCCCAATGACTGAGCCACCCAGGCGCCCCTTAATCATCTTTTTAGATAACTGTGGATATTCTTTGTTCCTACACCAAAACTCAACAAGTGGTAGTTTTTTTAAGGCTAGTTGAAATGTGGGATTTTTTTTTTAAAGATATTTATTTGACAGAGAGCGACATACCGAGAGAGGGAACACAAGCAGGGGGAGAGGGAGAGGGAGAAGCAGACTCCCCGCTGAGCAGGGAGCCCGATGCGGGGCTTGATCCCAGGACCCTGGGATCATGACTGAGCCAAAGGCAGACGCTTAACAACTGAGCCACCCAGGTGCCCCGAAATGTGGGATATTGTATCAATGTGAAATCGTATCAGTGAATTTTAAAGATTTTATTTATTTATTTATTTTTTTTGAGAGAGAATGAGAGAGAGAGAGAGAGAGAG